ACACCTCACAACAGTCCTTTCTGATGTTTAAACGCATGCCACTTGTGGCCGAACATCCCTACACGGTTTAAAACAAAAATGATAAAACACAAAATGTTTAAACATATGCCACCTGTGGCCCGAACGTGTTTAAACGGCTTCAACCAACGTGTGGGCGGCAGATGCGAAACATTACACACGTAGGTTCATCGGGGTATGGAACCAAGTCACAGTCTCTCCTAGCGGGGTTGCAGAACGACGAGTCCCTTAACCCAGGTGCCTCCTAAATGGCCCCGGTCCTCGATCTACTCTGCTGGCGCCGCCGCGGTAGTGGCAGCCGGCGCCAAAGCAGCACTGCCTGAAGCCTCATTGTGGCCAAGCTCAATCCCCAGGTCTCCAATCTTCTTCCAAAACCCTGCGTTCATCATGTCGCCCAGCGTGCGTGTGTCGAAGTTGAAGTCCAGCTGCTGGGGTGCGTTGCTGCGGCTGCTAGGGACAATCGTTTCCATCGCCTGCAGAACGTGCCTCGTTGCCCATGCTGCCATACTGTCTTGTCTGATGTTATGGCCAGATCCTAGGTGGATAAGTTTTTTCGTCTCCCGAAACTTCTCCATCCGGTTGGCGGCACAGATGGCATGGTCATCTAGAGACCGAATCTCCGTCTGATTGTCAAGAAACTTCTTGAACTCCTTCTTGTCGGAATCCTCTGCATCTTCCAAGGCATGGGCGATTTACATTCTCGAGGATGGCTTACATGGCCTCTTTGCAAAGCAGTCCTGGAGGGTCGGTGGCGGCAAGTGAAGTAATGACGTCGCGGTGCCGAAAGGTGAGGCCTGCACACAGGCATGCATGCTCATAAGCCGTAGACGTGTCAGTTCCAACAAGACACTTGTACCGGGTTATGTCAGGCCAGCAACCAAGCAGCGTCCGAACCTTGGAAGACACAATGCCGAACCTATGCAAAAAAAACAACTCGGTAAAAGCTAGGCTGTCTTATAGCTGCACTTGATTGCTTGCTAGGATCGAAAGCAGAGCCACAGGATGTTTTTTGGGGTGTCTGCGGCTTCAGGCCTTCAAAAACAAGGCACTCAGGGCTCTGTTCCCTGCGAAAAGAGAACGTAAACATCGCCGCCAAAACCTCTCAACGGTGTAGCCTCATCTGTGCTCCACACCCGAGTATGTGCCGCTGTAGCCTTGGTTCGGCCAACATGACACCAAAGAAAAGCTCCCCGATCGGAGAACCACATTCGTGTACGCCAAGCAAGAACTCATCGACCTTCGGGCACGTAAAGCTTAAGACCCAAGCCTTCTTGGCATCAATTTGTTGCTAAAATCTTTATGTCAAGGCAACTGTGATCTCTCAGCTGGCGGTCGAACGTGCGCATGTCGCACAGGACCTCTTGGAGAGCCTGTCCGCACGATGAACCCGAGCCAGGTCCGTGGCAATACTTTAGGGTCTGGGGATTCGGACTTCAAGGCTTGTTGGGTTTAGGGCAGAGTTTAGAGTCCAAGCATGCAGGTTGAGGCTGCCATCCAATGGCCTTGGGCTCTTCCACCCAGGCCACGGACAGGGAGTTGACGCAGTGCCTCTCCGGAGTGTCGCCTGCCGGTAGCTCCAAAGGTGGCAACAGACCCGGGATGAGACGAGGAACTGAAACCCAGAGCGTGGCCAAGAAATTGAGCGATGATGATGCTCATGTTGATGATGCTGATGATGCTGGTGATGCTGATGATGATGGTGGTGATGATGAGGATCAGGACGAGGTGGTCACGCAGAGGAGAACCCCAGAAAATAACAAGCAGCCCAGGCTGCTAAATGCGGGGGGGGGGGGGCGCCTTCCAGGACAGACACAGACCTGAATTATCAGCCCATAGACCCAACACTCCGAGCAGTCGAAGTCACAACCCTCGCCACCAACAAAACCCCACCGTGAGGCCTCCGAGGGAGGCGCCATCCATGAACACGTGGCCGAGGTGGCCCCCACAGTTCCGGCAAAGGATCTCGCGGCCACCAGCTGACCAGTCAACCTAATCACTCTGCGAGCTTGGCGGTCTTAGCGTCACAGCAACATGCTGATACTTGTGTGTGGCTTCCGTCTTTGCAGCGGATTAAACAACAAAGCCAAACCATGGTTATCGCCTTCCTCAAGGAAGTTGTAAAGAAGTTGCACTCCTCGTCGTCGGCATTGTCGTCGTGGTCGGCAGAAAGCAGCAGAAGCACCAAAGGCACTTGATCTCTGCTAAGCGGTTCTGCTAGAAATTTCGACAGAGTTCGCACTTCAGAATCGGCATGCAAGCTTCGATCAACAGTGGGTGCACACATATCTAACTCCTCAAACGTGGCAAGCTGGAATCTTGGACTGGCCGCCTGGGCCACAACGGACGCAAGCCCTGCTGCCTCCTCCGCGCGGCAGGGTGTCACAAATTGATCACAACCCGCAGTGGACAAAAAAGAAAAAACAATGGATTCTGCATGCCTGCAGCGTGTAGCACTTCGAGAAAGCTGGCCATCCACAATGTGCCTGCGCTGGGTCTGTCGCCGCTATACAATTCTTGATTTCACTGCTCTTGAAAATCGGGGATGACTCTTCACGACTTTGTACAAATTTCCGCTACTGCTTTCGGCTGTCGGCATGGCGGGGCCTTGATCTTCGACTCCGGGGAGTACAGCGGCGTGCTGCAGCCGGCGCATTGAAAGTGGCCCGTCTTCGGGAAGAAGGTATTGTACTCACCGGAACCCCGCGGCTCCGTGACCTGCACAGGAGCTGCAAGCTTCAAGCTTGAATAAGTCTGCCTGTGTCGCAGCTCGGGCTGCCCCACAGGCAGCTGGTGGGATGGCACAGATGGCTAAATTATGGCTATCGGGTTTCGGGGGCTTGGGATGAACCCTGCTAATGCACCGAAGCTGAGCAGCACAGAGAATGTCAAGTACCAGTCGAGCAGGAGCACGTTGCCAGTAGATCGACATGAGACAATAACCAAGGGCCATATAGGGCTTCATCGCAGTGCTCAAAGAAATACGTATTGTCACTTGGGCGAAGGAAAGCAAAAGATGTTCTCACTCGAATCCCAAACCGTCAATTCTGCGTGCAACTCATCCCCATTCCAAAAGCCACCGATCTGAAAATCAGCCTCGAAGAAACAAAGGGCCAAACTCTGTGAAAATCCTATACTTCCAAGAATAATACCAAGTATACTAAAATTAATCGTAAGAATAATACTACGTATCATTATTGCTATTGTTAGTCTTGTGACTCCGATTATTTGTAATTTTTAAGTACTAATACTAATCGTATTTCTTCTTCTTCTTCGCTTTCCATGGCCAGGGCCCCCTTCTATAGCCTTCTCCCGGAGTACTTCGAAGACCTCCGGAGGGAGCTCGGCCTTCCACTCCTCCTCGTCGCGGGGCTTCCTCGGTTTCTGGGCTTCCTTGGGTTTAGGGCTTAGGGCTGAGGGTTGAGGGCTTAGGGCTTCTGGTTTAGAGCTTAGGGTTTAGGGTTGAGAGCTTAAGGTTTAGGGCCAGGGCAGAAGGTTAAGCGGCTCGGCAGCCAGCAGCTGCTAGTCGAGCTCTTTCTCCAAAGCTTGAAAAAATACCCAGCCGCCCACAGAGTCCCATAGTAATAGAAAAATCAAAGGTTTTTCATCATTATCTTACAGTTCAGATCAACCTTAAAAACCATATCTTTTACCTTCATGAATGGAGCCCGCCCCTAAAGCCTGACACCGAAACCCTTAAGCCTGAAACCCTGAAGCATGCAACCCTAAAGCCTGCAACCCTCGATCCTGAAAACCCGAAATCCTGAAACCCTGAAGCCTGAAATCCCAAGCCTCAAACCCTAAGCTTGACGCATGAAACATCCTGAAACCCTAAACCCTAAAGCCTGAAATCCGAAAGCCTGAAACCCTAAACCCTGGTTCGGGCCAACATTGTCGGTTTCGGATCATGTTTTCGGATTTTGGACCATTATTTTTGGGCTCTGGACTTCGTGGGGTTCGGACTACTTTTTCAGGGTTCGGACTAAGATCATGGGGCTGGGAACAGTTTTTTGGGATTTGGACTACTATTTTGGGGTTCGGACATCCATTCTTAAGGTTCGGACTACTGTTTCACGGTTCAAGTTATTATTTTAGAGGATTCGGGCTACTGTTCGGACTATTGTAGTTCGAACTATTATTTTAGGGTTCGGACTGTGATTCTAATTCTAGGGTTGCGGGTAGGTTCGGACTACTATTTTAGGGGTCGGACTACTATTTGAGGGTTCGGAACCTCGAAAATTTGCATTCGCATTATTGTTTCAGGGTTCGATTTCTAGTTTAGGGTTCGCACCATCGTTTAGGGTTCGGACAAGTACTTTAAGGCTTAAGGTTCGGACTATTACTTTAGGATTCGGACCAATATTTTAGGGTTCGGACTGCTACTTTAAGGTTCGGAGGCTCGGACTACTGTTTTAAGGCTCGTTCCCCCGGGTCTTGCCCACGAAGACTTGTTCCCTGCCGACGAAGATTTGTGCCTTGCCGACGAAAAATTTGTGCCTTGCTAACGAAGATTTGTGACTTGCCGGCGAAGATTTGTTGAGTGCCGACGACGATCATCAAAGAGGTTTAGGATTTAGGGTTTAAGGAGAAATTTTGGAGCCTGGGGGTTTCGGCTTCTGGGTTTCTTTAAGACGTTGGAGCCACAGAGTTGTGGGCCTCCTTGCTGGCATCGTATACAACTTGGTGTCTCACTTTCTCACACTGTTGGTGACTCTCAGATGTCGACACTGCCAGACAGCTCCACCTTCCTTCATAGTACGCACACAATGCCAGCGAGCACGTCATCCCAATCCCCAGGCCAAGTCTGATCGGAAAATTGTCGAATCGAGAACATCCCTGCATTCAACCTTTTGGTTTCCAACTTCAAGCATTAAACCCTGAACCTCCGTATTCAATCCTACACCCCGAGACTTACAAACTCGAGAAAGATTTGCCGCTCAGCTTCAGCGGCCATGGCGCTTCCTCGACCCTGGCCAGTAAAGTCTTGCCGGATGCCAAACTTACCTGGACGTGCTACAAGGCTGGAAACGGTCCTTGTTCTTCTTCAGGAACCGGTACGACTAGCTACTAGACACCAAGAACTGCATGTGTAAACACACATGGCAACAATTTTCGAACTTGTAACTTCTGCTCCAACTCAGTGTGCCTGTGCTTCGCGTCGACTGCAGGGTTCTACAGCAGTGAGGACACTGGGGACGTCAGAGGTTAAGTAGCAAGTGGCGAACGATGCTAAACCTGGTCAAAGTGACTGCAGCACATGCGAGGCACCAAGCCAAACCCAAAGAATGATGGTCCGAGTGTCGCTCACCCAGCCTTCCGGAGGGCCTTCTCCCGAATATCTTGGTTTAAGAACGAATTGGGCCAGGAGGGTGCGGAGCTTGGGGCCTCAAACTGCGTGTGCGGTAGTTTGGGTTCAGAGGAGTTGTGGGTTAAGAAGAAGTAGACGGTTTTGGGCCTCTAACATGCTGACGCTGTAGAACAACACCAAACCCTAATCTTTCCACATGGGCCGAGTCAAGGTGCATACAAAATGCGACTGAAACTACGCCACGCACATTCACGGCTACATGTTTGCTCAGGCATCGGGCAAACGGCTGGAAGAAAGCTAACATGATTGACATGTCTAGCTTCCATCAACCTGCAAACGACAAACACCGCCCCTGCTTTGGGTCCGAGAAACTTCCGAAAACGGAGTCTGCTTGTGCGCAGCTCCAACTCCTTCGAGCACCATTTAAGCCCATCGCAAAAGACTGGCGATCTGAGGGTCACGGGCTTGGGCTGATCACAAGCTTCTGGTGCTTGACCCCTGGGTCTGCGCTGCAAGCTCAACAGTCAAAAATACGTAACATAGACTAGCCGAGCGAGGTTCAAGTTGAAAAGATGAACAAACGTCGTAACCCCACCGAGGATGCTGATACGCTTTGTTCAGCACTAAGTAAGCATCGGAATAGTCTTCTCAAGAAGCAATTGGGAAGACTTTGCAGCACAGGGGGTTCCTCCACCAGGGAGCCGCTGGCCAAGCGCTCAGCGCAGGGGGAACTCTTCAGGTCCCGACCCTCGCGGACGAGGATCCTTGATTCAGGGCTTTTTTTTTTGTTTTTTGGCGGCTTGCCTTTTTTTCATGAGGGGGTAGAGGTTTATGAGGGTATATGGGGGAGTACGGGTTTCGAACACAACACGTGGGGGTTTGTAGGGAGTCCGAGAGCTCTCCAAAGCGTAAGGGTTTCTGGAAGTTTAAGGGTCTTCGGGGGGGTTGGCTGAGTTTTGCTGTCATCTTGACATATCAGGATCATATGGGTCCGACTGGTTCACAGGCTTTGGCCTTAGAGCTTCAAGGTCCGGCTGTAAGATATACGAAGGACTCCTCACGCACGCATGTCACTGCCTCTCTCTCGCGGTACGGCTGGCACAGAGGCGGCATTCCCAAATTGCCGGAATGCTATTGCCTCGGGATTACTGCCGCCAACTGCTACGGAAGTTCGAACATGAATACACCAACCACTAAAATCTGGAAGCAACAGTTGGCCTTGCCACTGCATGGAATATCAGGACTTCTTCATGACAAGTTGGCTGTAAGGGGCACACATGTACGCCAAAATGCAGAAAGAAACGGATACCGATGAAGATACTGTTGTAGACATACATGAAAGTCTCGGCTCAGAGCGTTCCTACTGCTAATATCATATACGGTAATGCATGAGGCCTGCCAACGAAACACACAGCAGTGGTTGCAGTTTGGTTTCACATCCTTCCATCCTTCCCTCCCTCCGAAGAGTTCATCTCGCAGACTGCTCCTTTGACACTCGGCCCAGGCTCCCTCCCTGCTCGGCTCCGGCCACCACTTTCCACAACTGTCTCATGGCCAAGCGCGACGCGGAGGCTTCAGCCAGGGTTTCGGCTTTGCGAGGGTAGAAGCAGTAGGTTCTCACATGCAAGCTGCTCCTACTCTGTGCTTGAAAGTCACCTGGGCGCGTTGCGCCGCAACGCGCAGGAGCTCATGGAGCCAGGACCCGGAGCGTTTTCAGATATGGAACATGCCACACGTTTCAAAGTGCCACTTCTGCTCGGTAGCTTTAGAACTAGCCCTGCTAGCCCACCTGGTAGCCCAAGCGAAGCCCTCTGCATACCTCACTGCTACACATCCACCTAAGAAACGACCTGCAATCGGCTCGGGCTCAGGGCCCAGTGAACGGACAAAGGAACGAAGCGCCATACCGAGCCAGCAGCTCTCGGCTTGGACACCAAGTCCTAGGACCTCCAAACCCGAACCGTCGGCCCCGAAACCGGAAGGCCTAAGAATCTTCAGGGCCCCTACCGCTGTCCTGCACCCCACACCAAGGCGATGCAAGATTAGCGCCCTGCACTTTCATGACCATAGGTGAAGATCCTGTGCGGCTTGGAGCTATCACAGATTGGATATGTGATTCTCAAGCCAGAAACAATGTCGACCAGGGTCTTAAAGGATCGTATTGGGTTAGAGCTGCCTGAGTCTGGAGTCTCGAGCGCTTCCAATCTCAAAATCCATGCTGGTATTGCAAGGCAATTAAGCTAACTGATAGCTGGCATTGTCAACAGCACCTGGAATGTGCGTGTCAACGCAGCCGAGCAGGGCTGTGACGAACTCTGGCAACAGTTTGGCATACGCTAGGACCAGATTGCTGGGATGAGCCGGGTATCAAGGTTGCAAAGAGCATTCCGGCAGTACAGTATTCTCCCGTCTTGGCACGGCATCAACTAAACTTCAAACAGCGACCGATTGATCCCAAGAGCAGAAAGGCAGAAGAAGCCGGGAGAAGCACTTGTGCCGGCCTTCTGTCATGAAGCACCAGAGATGTCCGAACTGCTTCGCCTCCCTTGGCAAGTCTCAGTGCTGAAAGCTGCGAGGGATGCCGTATCTTGTGACTTGGGGCCGGGACTACGTTAGCAGGCTTGAGGCCCCCTCCGTAAGGCCCCTCTTCAGAGACACGTAGTTTCTTGGAGGGGGCTCGAAAGCATCTGTTCAGCCCCAAACTCTGCAAGGACGACGACCCCAGAATCTCCAAGCCAACCCCGCTGGAAGCAGTGGGCTGACTAGGGCATTCATGGCAGCAGCCTGTCGTCTTCCCCAAATCCCCCGATCCCTACCTTTTCTGATGAAGTTGAACCCTAACGGCCCTAACGGCCGTGACCTCTGAAACCAGCAAAATCCGAAGTGCCAAGGGTCCATTCGCTCTCTCTGCCCGGGGGTCCGCGAAGAGCAGGACACGCCTGTTCGTGAGCACCAAGCTTTCAGTTTCTGCAGGACTTCCATTCGGTTGTGATTCTTGTCGGAACTTGTTCAGGCATTCCTGAAAAGGCCACTTGCATCTCAACTTTTTGACCAAGACCTCTTCTATCAACAGATACCATCCGGAATTCCAGGATTAATCTGTTACTGTCATTAGGTGTAGTCCCAGGGTAGCACCAGCCTCGAGATCCAAAACTTTGTGCGAGACCCAAAAGGAAATGTGCACGTGCTTGCATTCAACACATCTTCCATCCGCAGAGAAAGACCGCGTCCATCAACCCTTCAGTTCAGCTTTACAGCTTCAGCGCAGACACCCGCCCAGGATCCGATAAGCACAGGGCCAACGATCCTCAATGAAAAGTAGGAAGTCTGAGTCAACCCTGGAATCGGTTGACCGGTCCTCACGGGTCTTCCGGCTGTAGGCGCCTAGCGCCTCAGAAAGCCAGCGCGAAGAGCATGAAACTCCGCGACAGCCACGTGGGGTGACCGCTGAGCACAGCAACATAACATCACGTACGTCAACTTGCGTGCTGAAAAAGAATATCGCCCCCTGTGCCCGGGCCTGAGAGTTTGCCGAAGCTTCGTGGTTCGAGGCTCTGATTGCCCAGTCAAGTGGGTGCCGGAATTCAAAAGGCACTCGGATGGTCTGCTGTGGCTTCAAGCTTTCGAGCCCTTGTACACCCGGGTTCTGGGTGGCCAACGGCCACAGTGCTGTGGACGAAGGGAGATTTCAGGACGTTGACCTCGACAGTCGCTCAAGGTCCAGGCGGATGAACGCTGAGAAGAGTGCTGCTGCTCATGGCTGCTACCAATTCGATCGCTGTGGTGATGACGGTGATGCCACTGATGCAGCTGATGATCATGATGATGAAGATGATGACTATCACCATGATGATGCTGATGGGTGATGGCGATGGCGATGGCGATGGTGATGGTGAAGAGGACGGTAATCATGGCGATGTTGCACCGTCATGATGGTGATGCTGAAGGTGGTGCTACTGCTGCCGCTGAAGATAACGCTGGTCACAATGCCTCTGATGATGTTGATGATGATGATGATGGTGATGGTGATGGTGATGATGATGGTGCTGGTGATGAACATGATCATGATCATGATGGTCATGGTGATGTTGATAGTGATGGTGGAGGTGCTGCCGGTGCTGGTGGTGGTGAGCTGGTGGATCAGGCAATGCTGACGGCGCCCATGCTGATGATGACGATTCTGATGCTGATGCTGCTTCTCCTCCTTGTTCGTGCTATTCGTGCTTAAGAACTGGTGATGCTGATGATGTGCAGATGATGCTGATGCCGCTCCCGGTCATCGAGGTGCGCCCACAAGCCCTAACCCCGAAAATCCTATACAGCGTGGCGAAAGGCATCTGACGCTCCCATTTCCATGCTGGCTTTGACCAAGAGCGTCGCGAAGGGCAGGGCCATGAAGTCGTTGAAACCTGGAAACCCCACAACCACTGGACTGTCGCATTGTTGCAAGCCAGAACTGTCCTGACACCTGACTTCAGCTCCCCGTGTCAAATAACCAGGCAACCACAATTCGCTCATGCATTGCAGTATGGCCTTGATGCACCATCCAGTCTTGACTCGCCCGCAGGAACATGTGGTGATGTGCACCAGAGACGAAGACCGACTGGGCTGGAGCACTCAAAGATGAGCGCGTCAGAGGCGTTATTGATTTCTCAGCACTTTTGTTCTTGTTGTTGTGGTGTCAGCATTCTGCGAAAGGAGACTGCCTAGGACTTGTAGGAGGACTGATGGGGTAGAAAAAATCTTTCACTGTTCTTGCCGCACATGCTGATACAACAATCTCGTAGCAGCTCTAGTGACTCTAGTATGGTCTGCAGGTAGCAGAAGCAGCTGCAGGAGCAAGTAGTAATTTTAGTTCTCTTGCCGTTGCAATGGCACTAGCAACTAGCAAACGTAGTTGTAGTCGTAGTCGTATCGTGGATTGCGGTCGCAGTGGCAGTAGTAGTAGCAAAAGCAGCAGCAGCAGCAGCAGCAGCAGCAGCAGTAGCAGCAGCAGCAGCAGCAGCAGTAGCAGCAGTAGCAGCAGTAGCAGTAGTAGCGCGGTAGCAGTAGAAGTAGCAGTAGCAGTAGCAGTAGTAGTCGTCGTCGTCATCATCGTCGAGGCGGTGGTGGTAGCAGCAGTAGTAGTAGTAGTAGCAGCAGCAGCAGTCAGTAGTTGCAGAAGTCGGAGTGGGAGGAGAAGGACGAGGCTAGCTCAGCCCATCTACAAAGCAGTGAGTCTGGGCAAACCCACAATCTCCGCCATGGAAGATTTGGATCTGGGTATCAAGCCTTGGGGTCTAGGGTTCATGCTTGGGTGCTTCTCAGGTTTCAATGTAGGCTTCACCGCTACCAGAATTCGAAAAATTCCGCCCCAGCCAGGTGCATGACCATCAAGCGAACCGCCAGAAGCCTGAGCCCACTGCGTGCGCGTGCGTGTGTGTGTGTGTGTGTGTGTTTGTTTGTTTGTTTGTTTTTCTGTGTCTGTGTGATGGTCTAGCACCATGTACAAGCCTAGACCCCCAACCCACATTTCAGTAGTTGCGGTTACACAACGGTTGTTGGTGCACGATGATGTCACCATGTAACAGTTTGCTGTGCATGAGGCTGAAGGATTTCCGCTCTCCACGGACTCCGAAGTCCTCTGTCCTGCTTGCTTCGTGGCATTACACTGGCACTCAGCCTTGGCAGGGCCTCGGATCTTGGATGGATTATGTTCACTGTTTCGAGCCTGCTGAGAACCGGAAGCATGTGTGCTGCAAATCCCATTCAGCCATCGTGTTAGGGGGACAGCGATTGAGCTCCTGTTGCCTACACCGATTCGCAATGTCCTTCTCCCCCGCTTAGGCAACTCCCAAGCACCATGGCAAAACTTAGATTAGAACTGGTGCTCTCAAGCCTGAAGACATGAAGCTCCAAGTCTCTTAGACCCTGCAGCTCTCCGAGCCTCAAGCCTAGAACCCTAAATCCCTCTAAATGCCCCTCCACCTTTCCTGCCCAGCCCTGCTGGATCAGGGCCCCGAGCCCAAGGAAGCAGCCATCCAAACGAACGTCCTGGGCACACAGTTCCATCACAGAGACGCAAAAGACCAGACGGATCAGGTTAGGTTGTAGCATTTCGGGTTAAGACTAGCGGCAACCTCGCTGGGAAGTTCAGGGCTTGAACATGTATTTCAAATGTTGGGATATGAGCCCATGCGTTCAGTCTTGCAGCTACTGTCATTATGCCCGTGCAGAAAACCTTCGGGTCTCCAGATCCCTTCCAAATGCACCAACAGCAACTTGCGCTAAGTTCCAGCAGTTAATATTAAGTAGAAGATCAAACTCCAAATCCTGTTCACCACGTTTTACCCATACTACCTGCGGCCCGTGACAAATCAAGCATCGTGAGATGTCATGATCCAGTACACCTTGACGACCCCGACGAACACCATCCACAAGTCCACCGAAAGCTGAAAGCTTTCCTCAGACTCCGTGCTTCCAGTCGAGCTGCCCTGCCCTTGTCCGCCTCGAAATGTTCCTGCAACTGCACCTGGATGTGTCGTTTCGGCTTCGGGCCCGGGACTTGGGCTTGGGGCATGTAGCCTGGCCGAAGCCTCGCACCGTGCTAGCACGAGACCCAGAAAGCTCTCAAACCTCCGATGATCCGGAAAGACTCAGCCCCCCTAGCCCTGAAACTGTCACCACAAGGTACAAACCTTCACCTGAATCATCCAGAGGTCGATGCCCTCAACCGGGACCCGCGGTCAAACCCCAAGTTCCAAAGCATCCACTTCAAGAAGCTTTCGGCCTCAAACGCAGAGGAGACATCCCCAAAATTAAAAACAAACATGCTGAATGTAAACACAGCATAAGACAGAAGCTGCGAAAACAGCCCCAAAACTGCACGGCTGCAGCATATCTGGGGCTCCATGCCGCTGTGATCATCACCTGGTGCACAGGGGTCCTAGGTCCTAGGAATTGTGAAATCTCGTCAGTGCTTGAAACCAATACATAGGTTCCGGGCTTTCAGCGAAAAACAGCGCGAACGCTTTCGAACTCGGGTCTGCCCCTCCTCTCTGCCGCCCGCAAGAGCGACCTCTCTTGACTTTTAGATTCAGCCTCAGCCTTAGTCCTCGCGCATCATCTCTCAACACAAGGGATCTCCTCTCCTAGCTGCTGTATGGGCAACACTAAACCACGGTCTGTTGTTCCTGACTGCATCTTCGGGCATGTTGTTGGGTCTCTATGCGAATGCAGGCAGTCTGTCTCTGAATCACAATAAACATTCCCGAAAGTAAGCAACTACAGTCCATCTGACCTTTAATCTCGGCTGACATCAAACATGCGGTAGCCGGACTTCATAGAGATGACTCTGGTGCTGGCATACGGGCATACGGCTAGATGTAGACGATAGCCCGGTGCAAGACAAGTTTGCCAGGATCCCAGGCTGCCGCTGATGATGATGATGATGACGACGACGACGACGCTGATGATGTGGAGAGGCTTCAATTAAAGGCTCTATGACGACGATGGTGACGATGGTCATGGTGAGGACAGCGAAGCTGAGACACCTCTTGAGCAGACTCAGGGCTGTAGATTAGACCAAGAGCGGCCGGGCCACCGAGGAGTGAGAGAAGTTCGCGGCCACCCCGCGCAAGGCCGCAAGGAGGCTCGGCCAGTCCACCGGATCCTGGAAGCTTCGGAGGGTCACGAGGCTTCCGCTTCCGGTCACTGTCTTAAGGGGGTGAGGTCGGGGAACTACATTGCTTCGGGTCTGACATTGCCCCTTCCTCAGTCTTATTCGATACTGTAAGCAATCCGTCTAGAAGCACAAAAATTGTTACTTGGATTCTCTGTGCACGTGCACACGGCTTTGATTCAATGATTCAGTGCGCCGCATGCTAGTCTGTGTGTAAGGACTAAAGAAGGCACTCGCACAAGGACTGCAAGAAAAGTACATGATTGATGGGGAACGGTCCTCGGCTTGTGTATGAAACAACTTTCGCGCATTCCGCATGCTTGGCTTTTCTGGCTCCGACAACTCTCAGTTCATCTGGGGTCACCTCTTGTGCTGGTAGAGCTTGAGCAGGGCGAGGTCTAAACATGGGACGGTAACCAAGAAGCCAGTGAGCTAGAAGAGGTCAGCCACAAGCTTCAGCGACCGCAATCTTTCAAAACACACTGAGAGCCCGAAACTTACAAAACATGAGCGTTACAACTGAAGATGTGGTATTGCGGGAACTACTCTGGGCCCGGCTGGGATCGGCGTGCTCTTTCTAGCACCACCAAAGTCCTCTGTGAACTCACAGGACAATGGCCCACCATGTTGCAGCAGCACCTTCAACAAAGACATGACTATGTGTAAGGCCGAGCGAAGCCTTTTTCGGATGCCACCGAAGCTCAAACCGTCAGTAAAGCAATCACGTCTGGGGGTGTGGCTTAGAGTCTTCGAACATCCTGAAAGTGCTGTAGTCGTGCTGCTTCAGAGTTAAATCGCTGCTGCTGTCCCTGTCTGTCCCAAACACCTGAAGCCATGCGGCAAAGCTGTGACTTCCAGAACCCCACGCCTGCCGCTCTACGAGATCTTCGTCCCTGCCATGCACAGATATTTCAGGCGGTCGTGTACATTCGTTCGAGTGGAATGGTCGCTTTCGAAAGACTCTTTCGGAGTCATTGGCAAACCGGAGTTGCGGTCTTGGTGGCCCCTGGATTGTAGCATGATTCAGGGTTGCACAGCACTCCTGTCACTGCAATAAGCCCTGCAACTTCCAACGCCACTGACTTCGTCCAGAGGCTGGTAAATGCTGACACTGGCTGGGACCCCCCTCTGCTTGGAATCCCAGACGGCAAAAGACAAGAGTGACGAGGATCTCTATAACTCCCAAGCGTACACAGCAGGTTCCTCAACCCCGAAGTTCGTAAACTCGCGATCTCTCCGAAAGCCTGTCGATCTCTGGCGAGCCCCAGCACAGGACCTCGATTCCAAGACGGTTTCTCGGGTCGGATAAGGCACATAACTGCACGAGATCCCCGGGAACAGACTTACATATCTGGGGTTCTATTGTGATGGATCAAACAGCTTCCTTTGATGCATGCTTACATAAGAGAAGATGGTGGAAGTCGGAGGGAAGCTTGGCACATGTTCAACAACTTCATAGACGTGATGCCTTCCTTGATGAGACTTCAGGCATGGAGCAGTATGACTCCAAGCTCACAGTCTCAGTAGTTTCACAAGTGGTGCTGAGTCTGAGTTTCTAAGAGAAGTTGGAGCAAGATCCTGCACAATTCATGGTCCCCTGAGACGAGACACACGCAGTGCAATAATCCGACAAAAGCCCACAATCCTTGCAGAAACCTGTGCAAGCTGCTAAAATCTTCATAAGATTTCACAAGCAAGCTCCACATAGCTCTACGCTTGTTTTCTTCACATGTGTGGAACGGAACTTCACCTCCCTTTCGGAAGTGATTTGTCGGACAAAGGTCACCCTACACCTCACTCACGGAAGTGCGCAACACGTGCAACCAGAACAGTGATGTCGTCGGGCTTGCCACCCTTGTGACCTCGGCCGATACACTTAGGTCCCACTGCCCTGCGTACGTATGTGCTTATGCATATGAATCTGTGTATATGTCTATATATGTATAGACACCCACAGGGTCCTGGATCAAACTCCCAAACAGCGGGGACCAATAGCCAGGACCCCAGGGCCCACCAGCACATGGCCCCGGCAGATGCTGGGAATCTGGGGCACGCCTGCTAATGTGGACCACGGCTACGACTTCGAGGAGGCCCTTAAGGACCATGTTGCCGTGGTGGCTCGTCAGCTTGGTGCATTTGGGCCCATGCGTGCACTTCGAGAGGCTGCACAAGGGCGTCTGGGTATCGACCTGTCGGGCCATGACAAGATGGCTAACGGACGCTGCTGGCATGATCGCCCATGTGGAAGACATGTCAGGCTGCGGGCGTTTGTAATGTGGATGGACATGCTGACGAAACATCTCTGACAATAAAGTTTGGGGAACGATTCCGATGAGGAACGCTGACCGGGATCGGATTCTGTTTCATTCGCTGTGCGACTATTCGGGTGAGTGACGTACAGTGGGCCAGCCAGCGTGGCGACCATAGCAGCAATTTTTCCTGGGAGTTAGTCTGCCTCGAGCGCGACAGTCAACTCGATGTACACACTCCTTCGGGTAGGATGTTCGGTGGTGGAGATGACACTTTGGATAGCCTCTTGAGTGAGGCAGGGGCTGGCGAACATGTGTTCCGCTGTTTAGTGGTCGTTTCCGAGCCTGCATCTGGGGATGATTCGCGGCAAGTGCCGAATAGGGAATCTGTTCCACTGCGTTGACTCGGAGCTCGTTCACGGAAAAGATCCCCAGAGGACGACCATCTTTGACCCAGGTGGCTTGGTCATCATGTGACATCATAGTCAGCACGCTGCAAACTACCCTTTGCATGTCTGAGTAGTGGGCAAACTTCGCCCAGTGCTGCACTGCACTGCCGGTTGTGGTTACGCTTGAGAGGAGGAGACAGCTTTTCACGTCAAAAGCGTGCGGTGGTAGCATCTCCCCTCACCGCCGCTCTTCTGTACAGGTGCTGCTGGAGACTGAGGCGTGTTTAATGCAGTTTTGCAGATTTCTGTGCCAGAGCACTTTGGAAAGTGTCTCTGAGTTCCTACTGCTCTCTGCCCCATGATTGAATTCATTGCAAGATGTTTGGTCCCTTTTGGACTCATTTTGCTAGGAGCGCGTCCACGGTACTCCAAGCTCGCAGAAGAAGAAGACACGCACCCACACGTGTATGTGTACATGTTTTTGTATACACACACACACATATACATATAATATATATATATATATATATATGTGTGTGTGTGCTTTCTTCTACCTATACATGAGTCTTCGTTCGTGTATTTGCCAGATGTGCACATACCTATGCAGACAACCAACCTTATCCTTTTGTACCTTTTCTTCTTTGCAACAGCCCAGGAGGCAGAGGAACTCGTCTACTCTCTGCACGAGTTCGCGCACTGGTCTATGAGGCAGATGGGAAAGCTGCTCGAGGTGCGTTGGGCTCCGGACGATACCTACGGCATATCAGCCCCCAATCCACCTTGCTGTGCTTGGAGGCCCCAAACCGTCCTGCTCTGTTTCCTGTGTACCTCTCCCTTCGCTTCTATACTGCGCCGTCTGCAAACCCTAGACTTTGAGCTGAAGGTTTGCTTAGACTCCATCTGGGATGCTTCAACATTTGCGGTTTAGCCTTCGTGTCAGTTTACAGGAAACTCGAGGCCTTTGGCGATTCAAGTCGCCCTGCCTCAACATTCAAACTTGACCTCTCTTGATTTGTGGATCTGTGACTTTCCGCTTCAGGAGTTCACCCTTACTTCAAGTCTTGATTTTCAGCAGCTTTCTAGACTTGACCCCTGATTCCCCGAGAGAACACTCAAAATCCAGCAACAAGCAGTCCAATAAGAAAAAGAGCCAGAGCTCGCAGCTATACGTCATAGAGCTTTATCCCAAAGCTTCCAACCCCGACTGATCGCACAATTATCCGCCAGAACGACCAAAAGTCTCAAAATCACCGAAGCCCAGCTTTGGCTCGCTCGGCTTTCTCCAAAGCCGGCCGGGCGGCGAATGCCGTGCTGCGCTGCCGCACGGCCGAAAGGCGTCCTGCATGGCCACAGAGTTAGCCTTTGGGTTGGAGGCTGCGCAGCTTGGTGACGACAGGGGAAAATCACCGAGGCTTGCCGGAGCGGATCCAAACTGCAAGCAACGGAGAATGAAACAAAGACCGAAACATGAGGAACAGCTGAAGCAAGAACGCAACTCGAGAACCTAAATCAGACCAGTCAGAGCGGCAATCGCCAGCAGAATAAAAACGCAGCAACAAATGGCCATGATCCGCCAGAGTTACAGATGGCCAAGCGGCTCATTCAGCGACTGTGAGGCCGCATAGGCCACGCGCACAAGGCGGTCCGCAATCTCTGCGGCCGGCGCCGAGGCCGTTGAAAGCACCACCTTATAAAAACCAATCTCTCTATGGAGGAACCCTATGGAGGAACCCGGGAGTTGAAGAGGAAGGCTGGTCAACTGAAAGTTCGTGCCAAGCACACTGACGGCTTGCTCCTTCCAGACATTGTCGAAGAAGCCGTCGGTGGCCAGGATCAACACCTTGGGCGTCCAACATGTCCGGCAGGTTAAACGACAGAAAGATGCCCTCAGCACGATGTCAATTTCAGGATCCGATGCGTATAGGCCCAGGCTGTACGAGGGCGGGCCTTAGGCCTGTAATTCTCAGCCTAGGAATCTCAACTACTATGCATCCGCGAAGAGCCCAAGAACTAAAGCTATGCCTGGAAATCCCGGAGTCCAAGTCGCGTCTCCTGGCCTCACATCGGTGGCGTATCTCTCGCTGCTGGCGGGCAGATCCCCCTGGCTGCTCATGGCAGAGCCCCCAGAACGACGAGGGGGCACACAGACGAGCTGATACGGACCTTGGCCATAACTTCTGAGCTGACATGCATGGGCCACTAGACATGCCATGACCACGAGAATGATGTCCCTAAACGCTCCTCGCTCCTGGGCATCTGACAGTTGAAATAGTGCTGCTGCTCCTTCGTCTCCAAGCAGACGTGTCCGTTTGGTTGGACCACCAGAGCCCCGCTGTCTCCGAGGTTCGCCACCTCCAACTCACCAGCACCGCAATCTAGCGAGGCGATGCAGGCCGTGCTGCTTCCCACGATCTGCCTTTCCGTCCGGGCGTGCGAGGAGTGGGCGACCCTGAAACGAGGGCCGGGTTGAAGAGAAAACCTTGCAAGTCGTAAACCGCAAACCCTGGATCCAGATCGAAAAAACCCTATATGCCTCAAAGTCTTTTCAGCTGTTGCTTCTTGACTCTAGCCGTGGTTTCGGATTCCTTGCAGCTGCCTCTACGACCCAGGAAGGCTTTTGCCGACTCCGATCGCACCCGAAGCTCCTAGCCCACCCTCTGCCTGGCATTCTCCCGTATCGCGGTCTCGAAGCCTTCTGATAAGATCTCACCAGCATCCAGCGATCCGTTCATGGCCGCACCTGGCTTCACAGGCCCAAAACAAAAAGACCCTCCTTGCAGCACACCCTAGGCCTGAGGCCCCAAGCCGAAAGCTACCAACAAAAAGACCAAACCAAGCTGAACTCGGCGAGAAAGGGGAAAAGGCGCCCTCACAGCGGACCATCAGCTCCCAGGCGAAGAGTGCCGGATTGATGCCGTACCTCCACTGCGCCATCCGCTTTTCAGGGTCAGTTGCACGGCAGTACATGACGGTCACGTCTGAAGGCAGTGGCTTTCTGGCGGTTGAACAAGGAAGCTGCGTTTTGGCTTTTGAGCTTCAGGACGGGGGTTTTTTCGTGTCGAGTCTTGGCCTGGTTTGGGTTGGCTGTGACGAGTCTGTGACTTCAGCCGCAGCTGTCCCGACAATGTCCTGGGCAACTTGCCACATAGGTTGATGGCTGATGTTGCTGCTAGCCCGTGCATGAAGACGACTTCGCCAATGCCCGCATAACACCGCAGATCAACCACGCATCCAATGGCAAGCCCGCAACTGCCCCTTGAATCCCAAACCAGAGCCAATTGGAACCTTGCAGCTTTGTCTGACCAAGGAACCTCGCCCAGCTACTAACCCCATCGGCGACGCCCACCGTCAGTGTCTGGTTGGCACCAGCCAAGAAGAAGGCATCGTCGCCGCAGTCCTCAAGAGGCGAATTCTATTGCCGGTCGTGCTATGATCTCGGGATTTCGCCCAGTGTCTTCTTGCGTCGATGATGTCTCATTGCATTGACTTTCAGTGTATGACCTACCTTGCACCGTGGACCGTTGTTGCACTGGGCACACGGCTGTAACACGCAGTGCGGGGTACTACCTGTTTTTTGGTTATTGTCGAAACGCGCACAGCATTAGATGGGACATCCCTTCACATGAGCCAACACAACCGGCATGCCTTGTGGCTACACCCACGCATATCCGAAGCGCAGTTGCCACTGCCGGCGCCTCTGCCACACGGCCTAACCTTTCCCTGAACCCCTGCTAATTTTCTCAGCTTTGAAGGACAAGGTTTGAAGACAAGGAGCCTAGGAGCGGATCTGGGGTTTACGATCCGAAAAGGTCCCGACTTGAGAGTCCGGGCCCAGGCCATAGATAAACTCTTCGAGAATCGAACGACATCTTGAAACCGGCAGATTAGCCCAGTCTAAATGTGTCCGCGTTCCGCGTTCCCAATGCCTACCCGCCTACCCCCAACCGTCGGAATGTGTTGCTCCACAGAGACGGGCCATGGGCGACCCGCCAACGCACCTGGAGAAAGATCCCGCATGTGACACTTTCAAACCCCAAGTTTCGAGCCGCCCTTTCCCAAGATCGGCCCAGCTTCGTGGCGCACCGGCGGCTGCAGGAGCCTTGGCGGGGTCTTGGACACGCAGCGGGCTGCGGACTCCAGAGTAAAGCGCTGCCGGCTGTCCCCGGTGGACGGCTGCGACCACTCCTGGGAAGAACGATGGGGATTGAGAAGAAAGCAGACGCCAGCCAATTTTGAATCCGAACACAGATTGAGGGATAGCTAGCACCATGCCCAACTTCAGCGAAGGAATGGGTTTTGGGTGGAACTTTTGAAAGTTTTAGATCCTTCGGAAATCATGGTTTCAAGGTCACAAAGAAAGGAAGGGAGCTCCTGGCCCTGCAAACGCAGCTCGCACTGACACGGTCTCACGTTCCTCTCTGCCTGTCTCCAACGTACGCCTGCTAGACTTGCAGGGATCGCAAGTCGGCAAAGGGTCGGCAGCTGCATGTTGGGAGATAGACTAGCACGAAGCACCTAACTTGCTCACATTCTTCTGACAAACTACTGTCTGCCTTGAACGCCTTTTTGCAGATGCACATCCTTCGAACTCTGCTGCGTCAGTGGAACATCGAATCTGAGTTTGCCGCTAGCGGAATTCACGTACAGGCAACGTTCTTGAGCATAAACGCCCGCCCGCATGCATTGCCCTCGAATGCCACGGAGTTCAAGCGACCCAGCAGCGGACCTGTACGGTCCGGGCAGCCAACTGTTGCAGGGCAAACTGACTTCCTGCATTCCAGACATCACTAGAGTCCAACTCCCCCTGTGGAGACGCGATTACCGACGACCTCCAACCGCAAGCCTAAATCTTCGCGTGCCCGAAATTGATTTATGCAGCGTAACCGAAAGAACCTGGCACATTTCCAGCATCCTCCTATATCCTTCTCATCCTCTAACTTGGCTTGTTGCTTCCTGAGCTCAAAGCACAAATCTTCAACCTTGGTGCCTCACCTCTTCTTTCACCCTCAACGTCCAACAAGTGTGTGAAGCCTGAACCCAAACCCGAAACCCGTTACCCACAACCGAAACCCGAAAACTTTATTCTCAAGGGTCGGATCCAGGAAGTATCAATCCTGTACCTCACTGAGGGCCAAGCAGTCACAAGGATCCACGGCAGCACACAGGACATGGCAGGACGTCCCCACCCCACCCACTGTGTTTCGCTTAAGTACTGACGTCTGTATGTTTTGAAAGCTCAGGGTCTATGTTTCGGACTTGGCTCGTCTTGCTGCCTGGGGAGCCCAGGCTGGTGTTTATTGTGTATGGGCTTATGGCTTATGCTGGTTGACAGCTGTCAACTGGGTCCGAAAGATTGAACGCAGAAGGAACGATACTCACCTCTTCAGGATATGGCCTGCACGTCTTCGAATCTCACTTTTGCTAACGTTTGCAATTTCGGAAACATTCCGGAATGATCGTTTCATCATTGACAGCGTGATCATCGTGACACTCGCCGTCACCATCGTCGTTTTCATCGTTGTCATGGTTATAGTGATTATCATCATTTTCATCATCACTTTCATCGTTGTCATCACTATTCTCACCATTATCATAAGTACCGTTTAAGTACCTCTTTAGATCTGGGCTACGAAAACTAGATCAAAAGTCGGAACAGCAAGGGAGCAGCGCGAGCTGGTCATTTTCTGTATGTACATGGTGAAGAAAAGGTTACGTACATTTTCCGATCTGAACGACCGCATCCGATCATAGACATGAAGACTCTCGAGGTGTAGGGTAGCGGAAAAGGCTTTCGGGAACATCGCGGAAACGGTGCGCTTTGGAATTCTTGACAGGTATCACACTTGCTCCCACCCCCCCCCCCCCGCCACCCCCGCAACCAATTCACTAACTGATTTTCATACCAGTTACGGCCCGACGCCGCTTGTTGACCCCTTGAACATTCGAAAGGAAGAAGGTTTTTGGACAACAATTCTCGCAAGTTCCAAAGAACTGTCTTTCATGATTTGCTCATCATCAACAGCAGGATTGCCATCACTGTCATCATGATCATCATTACCACCACTACTACCAGTACTATCACCATCATCAGTTTCATCGCTGTCAATGCTGTGAACACTGCTAACTGCTAACATTGTCATCACTTCCACTGCCACCGTTTAAACAATGCTCATCATTATCACCATTATTATCAGCATCATCATGATCAACATTATGACGAATATGATGACTGCCATCGTTAACAGCATTCTCATCATTCCCATTACCCTCATCATTCTCATCGCTCTCATCATTGTCATCACTGATATCATTGCACATCAACTTCTCATCATCACTATCACTATCATCATCAGCATCGTTGTCATGCTTGCCAGCTTTACCAGCACAACATGAATCATTCCGTAGCTGGTGCCCGGCGCGCCACATGGGAATCACCAGCACTAAGCAAGGAGTATACATGGCCCATCAAGACGAGTTGGAGTGTCCTTGTTAGAACACGACTTTCAGATGAGCACAAGTTTGAAAAGCATGCAGCAATGCAATCATCCTTTCCACAACCATTACCCTTGGTGACCCAGTTATTGGAGCTGAAAGAAGTTGGTGCTGTTACCATCGTCAACATGGCGCAGTCAGAGAACGAGTTTGCAGCATCCCAGAACCCGACGAAGTTATGGAGGTCTCCACCACTGGTAGGGTTGCAATGTTTGCGGAGATTCGGAAATCAGATGCCAAGACAGAAGATTGGGCAGCTTTTCGGTTCCAACAGAGCTTCGAGAATTATTTGAGCCAAGTCTTGCAGTCAACTACGTCTGTGGAGAAGGTTGTGTGCCTTTTTTTGGTTCTCCAACGATATTTGAAACCGTGCTTACGAAAATGGTTGCTAAGAAAAGAGACAGTGCGAAGTTCGCGACTCTTGCAAGAACAAAGTCCATCAACGTCCCCGGCGGCGAACACTCAGCAGCTAAAACGTTGCAATGTTTGCAACAAGAGGAACCGTTGACAGTTAATTTGCACAGGCTCAGATGGTATGTTCTTCAACTCTTGCAAATCTCTTGTCTTGCTTGTCAGATGTTGTCTTGCTCAAATAATTTGTGATTTTCTGACCTGCAACCAGACTTGGCTGTGGGATTTGAAGACTCGATAACAGGCATTGCTTTGAGAGAATTGGCAAGATTGGCTGTGGAATCTTCTGATTGGCCTTCAGAACCAACTCCGGCTCCGCCGGGATTGAACTAAGCGAAGACTTCTACAACTGCAAACAGAATTGCGATCATCAATGGGCACTTGGATGCAACGATTTTCCTTGATCAATCATCATTCTAAGTTTAATGTGGGGTCTCAGCTTCGTCAGTTCACTCTCAAGTATGGTCAATCGATTCAGAACTTGATTTGTTTCTTGATAGCACTGTGAAAGTATCCTAAAGACTTAACCTGCTTGGTTGCACGAAAGGTTGATTTACTTGTAGCAAGAAGTGCTTGGCCCGCTTCTGCTTCCTAGTGAGGACCTTGGATTTGGTTGGGTTAATTACTTGGCCCACTGTTTCATCGAAACCTTGGATAATTTTGAATTCTCAACAAGCTGTGATTCGAACCTAGCAGAATCCCAAACTTTGCAATCATCGATAAACAAAGACAGTGCAACCTGCGTAGTGTTTTGTGACACCACATCGCTTAACACTAAGTACAGCGAGTTGACCATCAGAATGGAAAGACCACATCCTTGAACGCAGAGTTAGTAGACATAACCCTGTTACCAAAAACACAGTCCAACTTCAAAAACTTAACTTGATTCATATAAAACCATTTAGCGGGAAATCCTAAACCTTTAGCGACCTGTAGAGCCAACTCGGAAACAATCAAGTCGAAAACAATTCCATTTGTCGATGAATAACCCAATGACATCACCGATGCCTGATGCCATGCTCGGGTTGGTCAGGCTGTCAAGGTTGCCAAGAAGGTAGCCTGTTTGCCAACTTCGTCGTGCTTCATGTTCTTTCTGTCCCATCATGACCCATTTCTAGATCCTTTCTTTAAATGGACCCTGCATGTTTTCCTGAAGCTACGTAAGCTATCCCAAACAAACCCTCACATTATCAAGAAAATATTGCACAAAGCCAAAGCCCAGGAGCGTAGTCCCTGTCGGACAAGAAATGGAATCTCCAATGCAGTTGCCTTCCTCTGTCATGAGTTGCAATGGACCATTGTGGATCCTGACGCTTTCAGGTTTAGTCGCTCTGACGATGCCGATTTGGTCTTAAGTGCAGAATTTTTGTAAGGAATCAATAGGTTTTTCTACGAGGGTATATCTGTTTCGGTCTTCACCCGATAGGCATGACAAACCCTTAGGAGCCCGGCGAGGTGTCCCCGACATTTTCTTAACGCG